CAAGGTCTGTCTTCAGCACTGTACTTCAGAGGGCTTCAGTACTGTCATCTGCTTTGGATGTTCTTAATCGTTATTGCACAATCCCAAACTAAATTTGTTTCATCTAGGACTTTTTTGAAAGACCAGTAAAAGTCCAGTGAAATGCAAATCAATCTGGGAGCATAGTCCTCTTCAATCTGCAGCTCTTTGTGGATTTGTCTCATCTGAAATTTCCTCCTGCACTCCAATTACCAAGGACAACCTGTCCATAAGGTTTTTACAAGCAGCCCTACAACAGGTCCATCTGATGTCTCTCACGGAGACGCACATTTACAGTTGTCATTTTTTGTTCATAGATTCTTTATCTTCAAACCAATCACTCTGAACATGCAAACCTGACATGACTTTAAACAGTGATCTGGTAAAAAATACATGCAGCTTCATGGAGAANAGACAATGTGATTTTCTGGATTTTTTTTGTCTCTCATAGTTGAGGTATATCTATGATGAAAATTACCGGCCTCTCTCATCTTTTTGAGTGGGAGAACTTGCACTATTGGTGGCTGACTAAATACTTTTTTGCCCCACTGTAATTACCAAGGACAACCTGTCCATAAGGTTTTTACAAGCAGCCCTACAACAGATCCATCTGATGTCTCTCACGGAGACACACATTTACAGTTGTCATTTTTTTGTTCATAGATTCTTTATCCTCAAACCAATCACTCTGAACATTCAAACCTGACATGACTTTAAACAGTGATATGGTAAAAAATACATGCAGCTTCATGGAGAATGAACTTTATTAATTGACTGGTTCATAACTATGTTTTTTAGGAACCTATAAGATTATTTAAAAAAAAAAATTTGTTGAAAAAACTTTTCATTTGAAAAAAGAAATATGTGTGTGTGTGTGTGTGTGTGTGTGTGTGTGTGTGTGTGTGTGTGTGTGTGTGTGTGTGTAGGTGTGGGATTTTGACACAGAATTTTGTTTTTATAATTACTTTAAAGGAGCATCATCTTAGCATATTGAAAGGTCCTGTATGGGAAAAGAAAAAATAATAAATTATATTTACCTAACAATTACCTGATATATAAAATGAGTTTTCCTGTTTTTACCAGCTCCATTTGTCAGTCCACAGCTGGGAATGGCCCTCTTTTTGTTAAAATGGTAAGATGCACAGAGGCTTCAATGAACAGGATATTAACTGTTAGGCGTGGAGCTCAGTTCTTGTATAGTGGTAAAGTGACCTTGAATCTGATGGTTCTTTATTTTTAAAAGATTTCTTAACTGGGTTACTTTAGATACTTTTAGTTCTTGCACCTTTTTTTCTTCTGTCAAAGCCATCCAGCCCATGGACCGTTTCCTCTGCATGCCTTCAGTCCAGTTTTCCCTCCAGGAAGAAGACATCGAACAGAATGTGGTATATCACAGAGCCCTGAGCCTTGTAAGTGTCTCATCACCTCCTTTCTCCTCCTCCTATGCTCATGTATGGAAGAGCTCTGCGCTGTTTCCACAACAAACACTGCAGGAACCTTTGGTGCTCTGCTTTCTCACCACTTGTCATCTCCGTCAACATGCTCAACACCATCGCCATCATGCAGAAAATAACCAGTGTAACTTGGCTTTCTACTGTATCCAAGATTCATTTAAACCATCATTCTCTATGTCTTTGCTTTTTTTAATGGCAGGTCAGGGTCAGTCATTTATCTCCTGAGAATGTGCTACACTTGCATGGAACAGTAGGATTGCAATTCTTACTAGTTCTTTACTTTCTGAATATAATCTGTAATAAAGATTTAATGAGTTGATACATCATAATCTAGACAAACCCATCAGCACTTTGTTTAAAATGTAAATTCTCAGTCTTAAAATAATCTGGAATGGACCGATATTGAGATCTAAAACCATTTCCCTTACAGCTGATATATTGTTACATGCATATTTCAACCCTTCTGATAACTTGGAAAAAAGCAAAAAAAAAAACAAAACTGCTGACTTTGCTTCTCTGCTGCAGATCAGGTCTTAAATTTAAATGTTTAAATTATTTTATTTTGTAATAAATGGTTAAAAAGGGTAGGAAATACCCTCCAATCCAAGGATTGTATTTAAAATCATAACTTTTAGAAACCATTACTTTAAATAAAGAATTTCATTGCTGAACCTTTTAAAACGTATTCAGAGTAATGTCTTTAAGATGATCAGAATCTCCTTAAATGTCTGAAATTTAATCTGATTTACTAGAAGCTCTAAGCTCTGGAACTCATTACCATCTGACATCAAGACTGCAGCTGATTTTTAAATGCTGACTATCAGGCTTAAAAACTGTTTAAAGACAAACCCAAGCTGTACTCAGCAGTGTATGAGATGCATATTTTACAATTTTATTATATTTTTATTTTCTTAACTTAAAGTAGTGTAGTGAGCAAAATCTATTTTTTTAAAAAAGCCTAACCAGGGACTGAAGTTGAGCATTTGATTTAGCTATAAACTTTATATTCAGCACTTTAGTGACCTGCTTTGCTTTATCACCCTTTGTTTGCTCTGTTTCTGTCAAAAATAGATGAAATGAAATGCACTTTTTCTTAGCCACCAATGACTCCAAGTTTTCCCTGGGTATACAGTATGTCAGACAGGCATATTAGATTCCACCTAAAATGAAAATAACCAGAGAACATAACTTTTTGGGTTAGGGAGACTCAATCATTCAGGAAACCAGTAACAACAGTGGAGTAGGCTCAATATTCTGGTTTAAACTGTCTCTATCACAGACATGTTTATTCTTTGACGTGCACAGTGAAAATGATGGTAATGCAGGTACAAAAACCTCAGTTCATTGTTTATAGAACTGCAGCAAAGAGTGCCAACTTAGGGGTCACCATAGCAACCATTAGACCCCATCGACATGCTAAGTGGTTGTTTGGAAAGCAAAACAGGAAAAAGCCTTTTCTGTCTTACCAGCACAAACATAACTATGTGGAGTCAGATGGGACCTGAACCGGGAATGTGTGCTTTGGTCAGGAACCGTGAATGAAAGAGGGGCACGGCACTGCTACTTTTACAATCATCACTCAAAATCCAAAAACGGGAATTTATTTAAGTAATATTAAATCAACTTATCTTAGGTCTAAGCTTCTCATACACCAATGTTAGGATTAGTGTTAGCCCTCAGTAGAGGGTATAAACCCAAAGTATTACCATGGAGGTATAAGGTCTGCAGACCTTCAGTGTGGATTTACTCGAACACTTCTGGTAAAATCGTTAATTTTTTAAGAAATTTATTGACAAAGCTGTAGACGTTCAAGTGAACAGTTCAGTGTTTAAACATTTCAAAACATAGCAGCAGTTCATGGATCATTTATGGAGAAAAAAAATGTGAAATTAGAAAATAAGACTCTGATTTCCCTTAAGTATTGAAATAATAGAATTTAACAAAAAATAATCCAAATTCCTCTGAAATAGCCAAAGTCCAATGTGAATTTCCGTTATGCAATATAAAAACTTACAGTGCCCTGCCTCTGCAGAAGGTGCCTCTAGATCAGGTCAGTTTACAATCATCTAAAGGATGAACGCATGGAGTAAACTTCCTATAGGAAAACTGTGGTACTGAGGAGAATAACCATATAGACCTAGAATATCCTCTGGAGCACAGTAAGAAAAGCTCAGAGTTCCCTCTCTCTGCCTCTAACCTAGTAGAGCGGTGCCATGCTACTGTAAGTGATTTTGCATTTTTTTCCCTGATTTTTCTCTCAATAAATATTCTTGAGTTACAAAATATTTTCAGTGACAAATGACCACCAGTGCCAGAAAATATTAATTTTAGTTTCTTTTTCAGAGTGATAAAAGTGGGATTAAGAATTTGTTTTTTTTCCCCAGTCTTAAATATGTAAATTTAATGTGAAATATCAGCTTAATGCTCCAGCCTACTGCTATTTAAGGCCAAGCAGTGATCTAAATATGAACCAGAAATCTGTCATGTTGCTTTTAAAAATTTGCTTCTTTTAGTTGAGAACCTTTTTCTTAAGTTTAATAATGAAGGAAATGACTCTGTGATTTTATGTCAATCCAGGAGCAACTTTAATACAACTTTAAGAAGAAAAAAAAAATTTGCAGAAAAACAAGTTAAATAATGGCAGATCCATCACTTTCACAAGGCTCAAAGCTTGCTCCATATTAAATCAACATATCTGTGCTCCATACAAATCAAATAACAGGAATGTTTTATCTTAGTATATTACAACTCTTAGGGTTATATGAAGAAATTAGAAAATAAAAAAATACTGTTGTTCCAAATTTAAGTTAAATTATTGTACTGACTTTTTCTTTACTGAATGATATATTTACACACACACACACACACACACACTCACAGCATCACAAACACACCCACCCACCCATCAGTGTCTTCAACAGAACTGTGAAAAGAGAAAAAAACAGCATGATTAAAGTTTGCTCAACAGGTATATAAAGTTCAAATTTAGCTTCAGCAACAGGGCGGATCCCTTAAATCCAAGAGATCCTTCTCTTTGTAAGAAAAATTAAATATATTTGAAATAAAATGCATTTCTTTAAGTTGCCCTGACCAGGAAATCATCACAGCCCTGGTTTTGATCAATCTTATCTAATAAGGCTGCAGAATGAATGGAAAATACTTTACCATAAAAATATTAACATGCTCAACATTAATAGTGCTGTTTGAAGTGCAGTAAATGCTGTCTAATATATTCCAAATGTTATAAACTTACATGTTTTGCTAATATAATCCAAATTCTGTGTTTGGCAGAGTCTAAAGGCAGCAGATGCTCAGACTGGACACAAATGACGTCATTAATGTTGAAGGTCCCGACAGATGGAGGCCCATTTATATATAGAAAGTAGCTGATATCAATATCATGTCGCCATCGAAATATTTTAATATCACAGATTCTGCAATATATTACCCAGTGCTCCCTGTAATACTTTAAAGTTTATGGTTAATAAAAACTTTCACATTTTGCTAAACAAAAAATATTTTAGGCATTACAAGCGACTTATCTCTTCACATTTTCCAAAAACATTCATGACCAAAATTAAACTTAACCTGTGAGATTAAGCCTAATCTTGTTTGTACATATTATCACTTATTTGAAAAACTATACATTAAAATGTTATTTCACATAATATTTTAGAGAAAGAATAACCTTTTTTTGCAGTTTTGACAGCCTCATTTAGAACATCTTGTAGTTTTACTGAAACTTGATCTTTCGGTATAAACCTCTTAAGAGATGCAGCGAACAAGCTGTGATAAGCTTCTAACAATAAGGTAGCATCCAGCTAGTGGGAAAAGTGGGAGATTTCTCCGTTTAGGCTGATTATGCTGAACCCAGCTGGGAAACGGAAGCAGCTTTTAAGTATTTATTCAAATCTGTACCACGATTCCCATCGATTATTCTTACAAGCTGCAATATAGAGCAGCAGGGGAAATTAGTCACCTCACCACGAGCCAAAGCTAAATAAGGGAGGGATGAAGGAGGGGAGAATAGTAGAGGGGAATTAAGGAAGGACTAATAAGGAGGGGAAAGGTGCAGAGAATAAATGGGAGGGTCAAAAGGAAAGTAAAGGGTCTGAGACTTGAGAGGGAGGTAAAGGAATGAACTGATGAAACTGAAGAAGATGGAGGAAGGAGGGGTGGGGGGGACAAAAAATGGAAAGAAGTCTGGAAAAAAACAAGAGCAGAGGACATGAAGAGCAAGATGAAGGAGTGAAATGAGAAGGTGGAGCAAGAGGAGGAGAGTAAGGCCGGTCTCTGCTGCCACCTTCTGGTAGAACATCAGCCTTCAGAACATTTAAACTGATCCTGACTCACATGATTTAGAAACTTTTTGCCAAGATCCCACAAACATTGTAAATGACTGATGGGACTTCCTCACCTTCCATCTGTTCCCACAGCCGTTACACAGAACAAAGGTCGTCATGGGTTCATCAGCGCTGCGGGTCTGCACCTGTCAATCAAACCCAGACCAAGTTGAAAAAAACGGACAGGAAAACAGTTTGGGATTCCTCTGAGGTGGTCTCTGGGTTTCCCTACCTGTGTGTATGTACAGTTCTTGCCGTGACATTTGCTGCAGATGAACATGTCCGTCTCGGTTCCCCCGACCTTTGACAGCTGATGTTCTCTGATGGATTCTTTAGTCAGAGCTTCCCTGATCTGCTTCAGCTCTGCACTCGCCATCTCCTAAAATCAAAGAGACACATTTTTAGACCATGTGCTTCAGTATGAGAACTACAATTTTTCCTTTTTTTATTCTTTTGCACATAAAGTGGAGCCATTCATTCTCTAATATACACACTAAGGGATGCTCTGAGTTGGTTTAACCCAACAGAGCAGCCTTGGCATCAAGAGAACCCTCAGCCTATTTATATATACACATATTAAACCTAATAGCTGTTTCCATGGGGAATACCTTTTTAGGTTATTTTTCATTGAGACCTTTGAATGTTTTGGTCTGCTTCAGTGACCCTGTTTGGTTCCAATTCAACTGGTTTCCATTTCCCTCTTAACAGTCAAACTATCTGGCAGAAAAGTAACTTCCTGCTTATGTCCCGAACTTGACCTCTGACACCCTGCCAGCCTGACCTCAGCAGTCATGGAGGCGATGCGTTCAGGGGAGATGTTCCCACACAGGACGTTGCGCCTCAGGTCCGGGTTCTTCTGGTCCTTCAGGTTGGAGATGCGGCTTCGCAGGCGGGTTTTGTACTTCATATCTGTCGACTTGAATTCCTGAAATATCCGTAAGCCCAAACAACAGTCAAGGAAAATTAAAGTTGCTTTTTTTAATCAGAGCTGCTAAAACAACATTGTTTTTCCCCCACCCAGTTTGTCAAAAAATGTTACTGCAGACAGATTCATGAATCAACTGACCATGAGCAATAGTAACTGAGCACCTTAATACAGATGTGCGACAAGAGGTTTTGCTTCTATTTGGAACATTGCTGCATGAGTGACTTCATATGGATGAGAGAGAACAACAGGATACCTCATCAGCATCGACTCCCATCCCAACATCCCGTATTTCACATATGAAAAGTCATAAAGACACAAATAAAAAGTAAGAACATTCAGCAATCAGTCTTCTAACCACTTATACCCTCCAGTTAATTTCTAGTGTTGCTTCTTACAAGATTAAACTCTGTTCTATTCTGCATGAATACTTTCCGAACAGTTTAAAAGCCTAGAAATGCTCCTTTGCTATTGCCTGATAAACCAGACTAAATGTGAGATCAAATGTGTAATTTAGTCTGGCCCCGATGAATAAGAAACCTGTAAATTATTTGGTTTATTAATACTGGAGACAACAGAGTGTAGGAAATGTAAAAGTAATAAAACAGATTTTTTTTTACATTTTAGCTGAGCTGAAAAGCGAAGTTCTCCTTTAGCTGATTGTTCCATGCTCCTAGCCATGGATAGGAACATCATGACTGAAAGAATGAGATCCTGGATAAGACGTCTGAGTTGGGCTCAAGGAAGAGTCAAAAGACGTTGAGGAGTCAGCTGATGTGGCTCATGCATCTGCCTCCCGCTAACGCCTCAGTCTGCCTCCTGGAGGAGCAGAACTGCCTTTATTTTCTTTCATCTAAATGATTTAATTCAAAAAGGATATGGTCCTCAATCTGTGCTGCTAGGTGCTCACAGTCAACCCCAATAGCTTTGAAGTCATCTGAAACACAAAACATTTTCTTTTTTTAATTTCCAGGCAAATGAAGAAAAATCCTGTACATAAAAAAAAAACAATCATTTTATCCAACTTTTAAAGCAGAATTGTGAAAAGGTGCAAGCAGCAAATGCTAAAAAGTTAACCCCCAGATTCCAGATACTCCATCAGCGCTCCACTCATGTACGTCATGCAGAGTACTTGTCATGTTAATCAATGAGTTGTTCCACATCCACCGCTACTCTTCCGCACATCACCGTCCACCTACATCTTCTCTGTCCGTCATCGTCAAAATACGGAGCAGAGCTATTTTTGCTCCCCTCCGGTCCGGCCAGGTCAAGATCCGCTATTGCAGTCGCACCAAACAGGAAAAAGAACGACGAGAAGATCCGGTTTGTCAAATTAAAATATAGTAATGACAGATTGGTAACTAAAAATGATAGCATAATTCTTATATATTCCCCAAAACTAAGGCCATTTAAATAAATGACTGGATGCAAACTATTTGTACTTCAACATACCAGGAAGCATACAGCGAAACTGCACATAATTCATACTGATGGGGATTTTTTGTAAATGTTTCATATTAAATTAAATGTTAATTTCGGCATGTTTTGGTACTACGAATTTCAGCAATAATATCGTGCGTGATCTCCTCAAACTGTTAGGAAGTCGCTGCGGAGCAAGACGGGAGGATCCGTGGAGGATGTAGGATTTGCTTTGCACAATGTTCTGGAGAGCAGCGGTGACAGAGGATGTGGGATTTCGGGGTAAGGAAGTAAACATGCAAGTACCTGAGGAAAAAGTATACAATTAAAGTACATGATATAAATAGGCAGAACACCAACTTGATGCCCAAATGGGTAACTAAATATCAAACTAATGTGTTTTCACTTGTGCATGTAGTGCAGCTAAGATTATTAAAATGATATATTGTTTGATTTTTCAGTTAGTAAAGCTGCTTTCATAACAGCTTTTTTTCAGTCATTAAACTTTTATGATGGAGACTGAGATACACTTGTTATTAGTAGCCAGAGATGGGAAGTAACG